CAATACATGGGTTTTTATTGACCTACAAACTTACATTCTTACTCTGAGAGTGCTCGCCTCTCCACAGATCTGACATCTAACTTGGCCCTGTGGTGTAATGCTATACTGTGGAGCATTCCAGGCAACATCTCCATGGAGAGAAGATTTCAGACCGTCCACCAGAAAGTTACACAGTACACCATTTGCATCTGAGGATGCATTTAGGATGATAGTGTGAACTTTCTGCCACCTCTGTAGCTTTATTGCAATTCTATTTTCATTGTACATATAAAAAATGTGTAGATACATTATGGCCCAAAATTGACAGACACCTGAACATTCACTGATATCACTCATAGATAGAACGATACTAATCTTACATAAGTTGAAAAGGTGTAACCCACTTTTAGAAAGGCACCTACGAGACTTTGGCACTCCCCACCACATTAACATACTCATATTCTCACTAATATAACAGAAAAGTGTCATTGTAATAGCCTATATGTTTCTATTAGCTTTCCCAGTGTACAAAATTGCAGTCTCACGATGGTAAAATAAATGCGTTGAGAGAGGAGCTGGCGTGACGGGCGGATAAGTATGCACAGTCTTTGCTTGTTCTTGGGCCAGATACTTTTCTGTGTTTGTATCTTTGGCTCAGCAGAGGCAGGGTTCAGGGCAGTACAGCGGCTGTCTGCTGCACAACTTGTAAAAGAAAGAAATCTAATGGAAATACTGTTCTTTTCTTGGATGTTCGCTGGGAAATTTCTATTCACTTTCCAGGAGTGTGTTTCCGAGCCTTGGACAGGTGAAGTTATAGGTGTCGCCACCATGCAGGGATGTTGCATAAGTTTACGTAATATTAAAGGAATATTGGTTGAGAAAGTCATAGTATATGCAGTAAAAGTTCCAGATATAATATTTTTTAAATCCCCAAATACTTCCTTCAGGATTTTTGTCTTGGGAGTTTTATTTCACTATTTTGTAAGTAAATAAATGCCTATTCCAAATATGGACCTGGCTCCAAATTCTCCCTTATCACTGCAGTATCATGAGTTTCTTTGACAGGAGCCGCTAGGGGTGACGTCAAACTTCTTTATCGTCACATCAACTTCAAAATGAGAATCAGAAGTAGTTTTACCAATCCCAACTACCAAATATTTTACTCAAGTACAGCTTCTTCTTCCACTTTCTTTCTTGGCAGTAATCTAATGAAAAGAAGTGGCTGAGAGGCCCGGAGAACTGCAACACCAAGTTAAGACCACAACTTGCTTCTAAATATAGTTCCTTTTAATCTGCATAAGTCAACAGTCCGAGCAGCACACACACAGATGTAGCCACAGCCTGGACTCCACTGGTTCACATAGACATTACATTTATGAAGCCAAATATAAAGAGTGTAATGATGTTCAGTAGAACCCAGCGTGATGAATGAGTAAACAAATCACTGTTTCAATATTGGTCCAAAATCTGCAAACCTTCCAGTAATGGTGTTTCATATTTAGCAGCTTTAGCATAATGCTGACTGGGGCTGTGAGGTGGCGTTAAAGGTCATGGAAATACATGTGAGTCAGAGGTTTTGTCACGACATTTTGACTTCCACAGAAGTTAGAATACATGAAAAAGTTAGTCATACATATATGTAAGTACCCGTGTGTCAAATTCTGTCAAAATTGCAGCAACAATTGGGTAATCAAAGTTACTCATAATAGCTGCTGACTAGGTGATTTTTTTAAACAGTTTGTTCTTTGTAACAAAAATAATGAATGGAAAAGAATTGTACATTAAAGAGTAAAACGGTTTTAAATATTGATAAAAAAAACAAAAAAACAAACGTATTTTATAAAAAAGACTAAATACTGTACTTGTTTTAGTGAATTTAAAACTGAAACTAAACTTTTGCAACCAATTCCTTACAATAACAAATAGTCAAAACAGGACTGTAGCAATCGATAATGTAATCATGGTCAAATATGTCATAATTTGAGCCAAGTTTAAATGTAATGTTTCATTCACATATGTTTGAGTAACTCTTTATTATTAGCCTGTTTACAGCTCCAAAGCTCAAAATGCTCTGTTTCATTTTCCACATGAAGCAGTAGTTTTCTAGCCTGATTCATTAGTTGGTTTCACTTTATAGAAAACTTGCAGCATTAGAATTCGTTCTTTCAACAGTAGGCGGGTACTTTTTTTATTTAACCAATCTCTGCTATTTGGTCGTGACATATGTAATGCGTCGCTAACGGGGCTAACTGGTATATTAAGCTTTTCCCAAATCCCGTAGGAAGAAGAGCAATATCATCTTTCCCCTTGATAAAATTCACCAAACATCCTCTTTGTTCAGGCTTTAAATCCTCGATCTCGGGAATCGTTGCCAACACTGAATATATGGCTCTTCACTGACTGACTGGTGCCCGAACTCGCACTTCCAGGGTTCTTGCAAACCATCTAATGTGTTCCGATTCCTTACCTAGTCACTGGAGAGAAATGAAAATTGAGTGGAGGCACTAGGTGGCGCCAGTCTGGCTACTAGTTTTCATGTTAAGAGCTACATTTTCCCTTTAGTTCAGTAGAGATTGGCAGTTATAGTCCTGAAATCATCCAAATGATTCTAGTGAAGGTGTATGGAGTTTGAAAACACAGTGGAGCACTTCCTTATTACCACATAACATCACAAAGTAGATGGAGTGCTTTCTGTTTGAGAGAAGAACTAAAATATGAATAAGAGAAGAACTAAATATGCAGGTTTATTTGTTAAACATGTGTGAATGAAATAAAATACAACTCTAGATATTTTTTGTTGAGGAAACAGCATTATAAAAGAGATAAAAATAGCCTAATGTGGGCCCCTTAAGACTCAGTAGACACAATGGCCTGGAATCACCTGGTCAGAGATGTTCTGCCAAAACTGCGGTGTGTATTGGACGGCGCTTCGGAGCAAAGTGCACAGCGCCCAGTCAAATCCCAACTCCTCTACTGCTCCAAAAACATGTTTACATTTTTGTTTTGTTGATGTAAACACTATATGGATGGAAAAAGTTTTTAAAATGTTCAGAATGTGGTGTGTTCAAATGCTCCTCTGTACACACGAAGAGTATTTGGGAGTTCTTTTTAAACTAACATATCTTTTCCTGTGTAAAGCCATCCTAATGTCCTCAAGATATTCCAGGAAATAATAAAAGGATTCTAGAATTTTTTTCCTTGTCCTTGTTCCATGAATGCATCACAGAGTCTCATTAAGTACAAAAGCCACAAATCGCAAGCTCCGTGTAAGTGCTACCTCATGCAGATACCGGAGCAAAGCAACTGAGGTGTTCTGTGCTTTATACACCAAAGCCAGCATTACCAAGGTATTGTTTTGTGCGTTGTTAGCATAAAGCAAATCAGCATTACTGCCAGGCAACCTCACTGAAGCAGCTGCTTATACTCAAATGTATTTATTGAGCAAAAGTTATGTACCTCATCACACATAACTGCAGTTTTGTTTTGTTTGATTTACACATCCTTTATTATTAGAGAAGAACTCAGCCTAAATATGCAGAGTTTGTGTTTAAACATGTGAATGAAATAAAACACAACTTCAGGTACGTTTGTGATAAGATTTTTAACATAGATCAGAAAATATTGCAATATGAGCGCTCAAAGGAAAGTAGAAGGTTAATTCAAGTAGTCATTTTTGCAAATAACATAGTACTTTATATATCATTGTTAATACCACAGAATGTTTTTTTTCTTCAAACCAGGGTCAGTCAAGTTCTACAAATTTTCTCAGCAATTTTTTACTATTCACTTGAAAATACTTTGACCTCGGGCAGATTCATTATTTTGATAAATTAAAAATCCACATTTTACTGTTGACCTTGGATTGCAATATAATATTCAATAAGACAATTGTAAAAGATCCATTCAGGTCATAATGACATTTTTCAAGCAAAACTGAACTACTGTAGTTGTTTGTGCAGAAGTTAACTTGTCACACTAGCTATGTCTAGATGCATACCAAAAAATAACTGATATCTGGACTTTTAAAGTGCCTAAGACTACCCATTTTACTTGATTCCTCTGCGGAATTTGTTCGCTTGACGGTATGCGGGTACTTTTTTCATTTAACCAATCGCTGCTATTTGGTCGTGATGTATGTAATGCAGGACTAACTGGTATATTAAGCTTTTTCCAAATCTCGTAGGAAGAAGGGCAGTAACATCTTTCCCCTTGACAAAATTCACCAAACATTCTCTTTGTTCCGGCTTTAAATCTTCGATCTAAGGAATAGTTGCCAACACAGAATATATGGCTCTTCGCTGATGGGCTGGGGCCCGGACTCGCACTTCCAGCATTCTTCCAAACTGTCTAATGTATTCTGATTCCTGACCTAGTCGCTGGAGAGAAATTAAATAGAGTGGATGCACTAGCTGGCACCAGCCAGCTACCATTATACTACTATACAGTTAAAATCATTATAGTTAAAATTTAGCTGAAATTCCACACTGAAATTCTTTCCCAGTTTGGCCCATTTGTTAGGATTACAATTTTACTTCCTGATTGGAGAATATAACGACACACTAGGGAATTCAATAATGGTTACCTAGCAACAATGTAGTGCACTGGGAAAAAATATCTCTAATGTACACACACATTATTATTTTACAAAAAAAAGAAAACATTTTATTTTGCTGAATTAATATTATACGAGAAAAACTGTTTCTTTTGTGTAAACTGGGATTAACTTTGGATAAAATTTTCCTAGCATGATGTCATCAGTATGTTTTAGAACACTACTTCCCGTAATTGTTAACACATTTTTAAACTTTTTACCGCAAATTTCTTCTTGAAAATTATCATTTATATTTACAACACATATTATCCCACCAAGTTAAGTGAAAATTAGAGAATGTTAAAGATGTCAGTCAGAAGTCAGGTTTTACAGTTCATATGTCATTTTATGTTACTGATAAAACAAAAAAACATGGAACCTTTTGAGAGCACATATAACATTCCTCCTCTCACATGCTCCTGAGTCTTACCTGCTCATGTTTGGAGAGGCGAGTCTTGTTGTGGATCTCTGATGAGACCAGGTTGAAGTGATGTTTTTCTGCCAGCAGCTTCAACAGCATGACCACAGTGCGACTGCCACACTTCCCCACACGGTTGTACACCACCTGAGTGGGGAATGTGAGGACCTGCACACACAAAACAGACCTCACATTAGGCACAAGACCAGAAAATATAATATTGATATTGTGTTGTATTTTATAATGTCACTATTTGTGTAGCCAGGAGTTAATATTTTGTTGCTGTAGAGGATTGAAAAATGAACATACTGATTACACACCCTTTAGACATTATCATTATTTATTGCAGCTCATGTTTTTTTGCTCATGTTTCACAATACTTTTTCTGCATATACATAAACACACTTCATATATTTGTTACCGTGACAGGTCTACGCCATAGCCTTCATATTTTTGTTTGCGTTTCTACTGAGCCCTACATCACATGAACACAATTACCTTACACAAACTACCCCAATTCTGATTTATGAAGCTAGTTTATGCTCCCAGCACATCTGTATTAACATGAGGTCAGTTAGACGTTGGCCAACTTTGTTCTAAGTGATACTTGAATAGTCCCACAAAAAACATTGAGTCACAGCAAAGGGAATGGATGAATCAGCGTGTCTCATTTGAATGACTTTTTTGTAAATCAGAAAGCAGTTACAGTAAATCAAGGTTTTATAGGACATGCTTTGATTAAATATATTTAGAGAATAGAGCATGATAAAAATAAATAGGTGAAGTTACAGAAGCATGTGTTTTCACAATATTCAGTGTGTCAGTGCAGCCATGGTTTAGCAGATGCTTTTGTATGGGTTCTGACCTTTAAAGGGCTCATATTACTATTTTCTGATCTATATTATAATGTTTCCTCATCAAAAACAGACCTGGAGTTGTGTCTTGTTTCATTCACACATGTTTAACACACAAACCCACACATTTACATTGAGTTCTTTTCTCAAACTGCACTCCACATTGTGGTGTCATGTAGTAATACAGGAAGTGCTCCACTGTGTTTTTAAACTCCATACACCTTCACGAAAATCATATGGATGATTTCAGTCCTGGAATTCTGCTGAACTAAAAGTAAAAGGTAGCTGTTAACTTGAAAAATACAGCTTCAGGATATATTAGGAGTATTTTAAACTTTAAAGACAGGCAAATAATAAAGGATTACAACTTCAGGTCTGTTTCTGATGAGGTAACAGCCTTATAACATGGCTTAGAGCTTGATAGAATATATTTTGTGTAATATAGGACCTTTAACCTACAGATTCTGCCAAATAAATAAAATGTAAAAAATAAAATAAAAATAAAAAAGTGACATTGATAGAGATTGACGACAACAGATTTTCAGTCATTCAATACAGGTAAACAAGAGTTCACAGTTCACATACACATACACAAGGAAGCATAAGGAGGTATGTGAAGGAATCCATTTGAATACCATAAAAACCTATAATGAAATATAAAAAAAAATATATGAAATATAAAAACAGAATTTTTTTTTTACTGAACTGAACATCATTTTTACAAACTATTTTCTTCCTTCTGCATTCTTGGAAAAAAGAGTAAAAGAATAAAAACAGATCACGTTCGTTGCCATGAACAACATCAGTCAGACGATGCCTTCCTCTAAATCACTGCTGCATTCTTGTACCCTCTCCAGCCTCACGATGGGTTCACAGGACGCCGGCTGGATTCTCCTCTCCTCTCCTGTCATACAATATCTCTGCAAATATTGTTCCTAGCTCCATACTGCAGTTTCACAATACGGACTGTGTGAGGTTTGATTCTGTCCAAAAGCAACAGTCCTGCCCAAGTATCAAATTTAACAGTAACAAAAATATCAGAGCTATCTACAGTACACATTTATTTTATAACAATGCAAAGTAGAGGAGAGAAAAATATAAACTTAATAATAACATGGATTAATTTATTTATTTGAAGATATTAAAGGTGCACTATGTAACTTTTTAGTTTGGGTCTGTCACCTTATTTGGATATGGATATGCCATTGCTCTGCCTGGAATGTTCCACAGTATGACTTTAATCAGCTATACCTTACTGCCATTACAGATGTTTTTATTGCTCAAAAATACTTAGAAAAACAGGTGTTCTGACTGTGAGCAGGGTCGCATCTCTACAGATCTGACTTATAGCTTGGTCTAGTTTGATCTCCATGAAGATATAAACATTCCAGTCAAAACAACACACATTTGACAGGCCCCCCACCAGAAAAGTTACACAATGCACCTTTAAATAGGACTAGGGATGTAACAATAACCAAAATATCGTGATATTGTATCTTCAAAGTTCCCACAATAATATCGTGGACCATCACAATATATCGAATTACAAGTCTCTTTGCTTAAATTAAGAGTTATGGTGCAGCAATAAAAGACAGAGGGAACTACATAGACCATGATCCTTTGCTCCATTTTAGGGTAGACTAAAAGAAGAAGTAACAGTTCTAAGCACTTTTAAGTCTTAGTTCTTTGGATTAAGTTTTGTCAAGGTATTTTAAGAGGAAAAAGTAGCATAATAGCCTCCACAAAATATCATACAGTGAGATGTATATTGTAAAAATATTGTACCGATAGATTGGGATATTGTTACGTCCCTAATCGTGAGCCTCCCCACCATATCATGAGCTTTCCCACGAACTCGCAATAAATATCGTACCGTGAGGTTCATACCGTGATGATATTGTATCATGAGACTTGGATATCGTTACACCCTTAAATAGGACTATATCTTTCAAATAATTTCAAATAAGAAAAGGTTGTGTTCACATAATATCACAACATCCTACATGCCTCGTTTAAAACTGAGCTGGGGACAGGTCAGAACAACAGAATTTACCTTTAACTGTCCACATGATTAGCCACATAAAACAAAAACTGTCACACAGCTCAAAGTGTTCTCCGTGAGTGTAAATAAACAAAACAAAACCAAAAAAAGAAAATATTTTCAAGACTGCCTCAGAAAGTTGTGCCAGTAATGCTTAAGATTTATATGGCAAGTTTGTGGAGCCAGTCCATAATAAATAAGTTCAACATTTCAGCATGCTTACATAATAAATGCGAAAAGGCTGATTGAAATGAACAAATAAAAGAAAGTTGCACTGTAATCTTTCAGGGTAGAAACTGATTCCTTCATTCATTCATTCTGTCTATACTGCACAACCCTATAGCACAGATTTAGAAAGTGTGTGTTTTGAAAAGAACATGTGGATTTGGATCAGGAAGTGCATAGGCTGGGTCTAAGGCTCCACTCCAACATTCCTCCAGACTCCAGCCTGCACAGCTTATCACAGTAATGACCCTGAGAGATCCATGGAATCCACAAGCCAACGATCAGTTACCACAAAGAAGATGACGACATGAAATCACATCGATGTTACAGTACAGAATAATAATTCCATGAATAACAGTCATGTCATGTAAATAAGGTGTGGTCAGAACATTATAGTTATAGAATGCTTTTAGATTTTAATCATTTGTAATGCAGTATCATCTGATTATCTGTGGTGCAGTTTAATGGTAAATTATTTACAAATGTTCAGGTTTGACACAGACAAAATCTGCATTTTAAGCAGCACAAAATAATCTTTCCTTTTATTAAACAACTGACTACAAGTTTTATGTATTTATTTTTTTTATTGTATATCATGTATATGTGTAAAATGATAGGCAAAGATACAAATAATGTAAAGAAATATTGTGACTTTGCTTGCCTGAGATTCAGAATACACGCTTCTCCAATGTACAAAGATGTGAGTCTGATCAGTAAAGTCCAAACGCCTATCAGGGACACGCTTAGTCTGTCTGCATCAAAACAAATATGGCTGCTTACAAGAAAAAAAGAAAGGAAAAAAATGTCACAGGGATTGAAAAACATTGTGGATTTCTTCAGAATCAGTGAGTGAAGTACTCATCTCTGTTAATCTGAGGTGTAAAAAATGTATTTTATTTGTAAACGATGGGTGACCTCTTTGTTTCAAATTCATCACTGAAAAATACTAATTTAATTGTACGATCATGTTTAGCCAGACTTGAAGTGACAGAGGATATGGGGACCAGACTGATATAAGTCTGTATAAAAATACAAAGAGAGATAATTCTGGGTTTGCAGCTCAATGTGGTGAATTATAACACTGACATTTGCTATTCTATTCACTGCATTTAATTCTGTCAAGGGCACATCTGTTGCTTAGGGCACTGCCTGCAAAGTAAATTCCATGTTTTTATTTCAGTTTCTAGTTACAGAATGAGTATGGGGTCCATTACACTCTGAACATCACACATGGCTGCTTCCCATTACATTCGTACATGTTATGACCACAGCTGACTTGATATACGGGCATTCTCTTGTTCTCCAGCGCTGTCATTTTGCCAATATACTGTCTCATGAAAAGTTCCTCCGTTTCTGTCAGTGCATTCTTAGTCTTCTCTCTCCTCCTGACCCCACTAACCCTTTCCACTCTGTGCAATCCCTCAAACTGCCATTCTCAATCATACAAGAGCAACTTCCACTGTGGCCCCTATTCTCATCCATCTCGCACATTCAGGCTATTTCCTGGAAGCGGGGAAGAAAAGTACACCCTTTCTAACCTTCAGCTGCACCACTGCTTTGTGCTGTCAACCAAACGGGGCGTCCCATAGAGAGGAGAACATGTAGCAGCAAACTTTCAGAAAGGACTATCTTGTGATGGATGGGTGATTCCTCTATCTAAGCATAAGTTTCAAGTGTGTTTATTTGAGGATAGAGAGTATTTATTTGACTGAGATCAGGAGCCAAGAGGAAATGGGAAATTATGACCTACAGTAGTGAGCAGAAAATACAACATCCCTAAATAGATATAAAATAGGCTGACTAAGGATGACCTCAATGGGAAGTATTACGGCAGTAATGCTTAATGCTTGAATCCGTTAATGCAGTGCTTCCCAAAGTGGAGTTTGGGGCTCCTGGGGGGCTTAGAGGCATTGTAGAGGGCCCAAAATGTTATTCACAAAACTAGCATAAAAAGAAAATTAAGTTTGAAATCAATCTGACATAAGATATTAGTTTAAATGAATTGCTTTTTAGTATTACCGTATTTTTCGGACTATCACACTTTTTTCATGCTTTGGGTGCGACTTACCCTCCGGAGCGACTTACATGTTAAAATTTTCACACTGACAGCTGCAAGAGGGTGCTCTAGGCTTGTATGCCAGTATCTGCTACTCTGTTTACTTCTGTACCACTATGACTTCGCTCTACTGCGCATATCTGCTCCAGAAAAAGCTGCTGTCCTGCTGCAAGTAGTGAAATATTCAGCCAAAAACAGGAATCAAGCAGCAGAAAGAAAGTTTGGAGTGAGTGAAAAAGTTGTAAGGGACTGGCAGAAAGGGGGGATGGAGAACACAGCTTCATGGCAATCAGGAGGGTGCGCCATGCAACTTTCCTGGAAGTCATTGGATGGATCAACAAAGCCTGGACTTCTGACACAACCAAAACCATCCTGTCGGGATTCAGAAAGGCCGGAATAATTCTAACTGGAACTGATGATGAGTCTGACAACAGCTATGCAGATGTGGAAGCGGTGCTCCGTTTACCTCCGGAGGTCGAGGAATTGGTCAGAAGTGACATAGAGGATGAAGAATTCAATGGATTTAGTGATTTGGAGCGAGATTGAGAGTTTGGTAAACTTCTTCTGTTGTCTTATCTATAGTTATCTGAATAACTGTTCATATGTTACGTTAACGGTCTGTTGTTGTCGGTTCTATTGTTGTTATTACAACTCACGTTTCAAGATAAAATGTTGGTTCCTGGTCTCTGATTTTAGAAAATAAATTTCCCCCAAAAAGTGCAGTTTATAGTCCAGCGTGACTTATATATGTTTTTTTCTTCTTCATTACGCATTTTTTGGCTGGTGTGATTTATACTTCAGAGCGACTTATATTCTGAAAAATACAGTAAGTCTACAGGAATAATTACACATTTTTTAACATGTGAATCTAAGGGGGAAAAAACTACATATTCTATTAAAGGTTGTATAGAGGATTTTCCAAGGAACGAGAAATCCAGCGACTGTTTGTCCTTTTTCAAATGTTGCGCATGCGTGAAACCACCCCCCCTCCCCTACAGCTCCCTACGTAGAAACGCCTCCTCCTTACGCCAGAAACAGGTTTGTTTACAGCCGGTGCGCTGCACATGACTTGTAAACAACTATCTACAGTGTTGGTTAGGCAAGGCGGAGAAGTGAGGAGCGGGGGGAGCGGGTGTGCGGACATTTCGTGCGCGGACGAGAAGTGAGGAGCAGGGAGAAGAGCGGAACGGGCAGCGGGGACAGGAGCAGGAAAGGGGTGCAGAGAAGGTTGCGCGGAGATTCAGTGCGAATGAACTAGCTACAACACGCAGCAGCAAGCGGACTCTTTTTTTGCCTTGAAAATTACGTTTTCAGACATAGGATATCGCTTTTGTGTCCTGAAAAACGTTTGACTAGCTCTTGGAAATAAAGTACGTTTTCATAATAAGCAGAAGTGACCTGTCCAGGAGTAATTTGGCGACCAATGCGTCAGTCTTTAGACCCTGCGTCTGCTTCAGTTGCGCTGGAATGAATCTTCAAGAATCACCTTAGTTTGGCTTCGCTGCTTTTCCCCTTGTCTTCTTCTTTCAGCGACCTCAAAAACTGACTTTCTTTTGCGGCTAACTGCTCCTGGATTCTTGTCTGCCATTGCAACAAACTTTGTGCTAACTGCGAGGAAGATATAGGTCAAAAAAAGCCGCTAAGAACTGTTGCGTTGGTGGAGTAAACAGCGTCTGTGCGGCTTGCGTCTGTGGACTGCGTGACAGGCGTACGTAAACCACGTACCGGCGGCGCGCAGGCAAGTCAGTTACGCTAGAAACGTAAGGAGATTGATTGACAGCCTGTCAGCTAACAGATAACGAGGCAGTGTCGTTATCTATTGGCAAATGTTTAGCTGGCCCCACCACGTCCAGAGTTGATGAATTTTTATTCTCTTTTTTTTGGTCATCATAATTACAAGGCGACTGCATCTCTATAATGCTATCATTGACAATTTGAAACAAAAAAAAAATCCTCCATACAACCTTTAAATGTAGAGTAAATTATTATTTGGGGGCCCTGCGTGGTTTTTGTGTTAATTGGAAGCTGTGGCACAAAACACTTTGGGAAGGGCTGGATTATTGAAATATTGCATAATCTAACCAAGGGACCAGTATGTAGCTAATAGGCAATCACATTACTCCACTACAATAACAATATTATCATTCATAATCAAGATGTTAAATATTATAATGCTTATTTGAAACTATTTTAGACAAATCTTTACTTCCATTAATCAGGTTTTTGTTGTGGTTATAATTCTACAGTAGATGTCACTGCAGGATACTAGGAAAAAAAACAATACATATTCTATTAAATTTGGGGAGCCCTGTGTGATCTTTGCATTGATAGGTGTCAGAAATATCTGGCAGGTGCCACGTCAGATGTCACGTCAGGTGCCATAAATATCTGGCAGGTGACGGAAAACAGCGGTACGTGCCATGGAACAGCTATGAAATTGAGCCTATACAGTGGAGAAGCAGGCTAACATCAGTGTTGCAATTGTGATTATATTTGATTTATGGTATATGATTAAAAAGTACAAAGAAACCAAAGATTTCAGAACATGTTTGTAGAAGTCTATTTTGTATAAAAAAGACAGCATATTTTGCTCTTTGAAGACGTATGCCAAGTCTAATTGCAATTTAGATTTGATTACGATTAATTGTGCAGCCCTACAATTCAATCCAAAATGTAAACCCTTTATTTAATCAACAGTTTACTCTGTGCTCTGCTTTAAACAGACGTGTAACCACCACACAGAGTAGAGCTGCCTGTACTTGAGTCACTTTCACTGCTCATAATGAGAGAGCAGGAGATGCAGCGCTGTATTTAGTGCTGTCTGCAGATGAGATGACAGGAGGCATGGATCACTCACTTTAACCAGCATATGTATAATTAGTGACATGTGTGGCTTCCCTGACTGCCTCCTGAGTAAATGCTTAGAGCGGGGGAGCAAGTGCCAGAGACAGTCAAATAGTGGGTTAGGGATGCCAAGGGTTAAGGACATACTGATTAATACTAGCTATAGTTATTATCATTTCCTTCTGAATTAAATTAGAAAACCATTATGCTGTTTTTGTTTGTCATAGATCAAGATCATTATAATTTAGTTCTAAATTTTAATTGGGGACACTAATTGTGGTTATAGTTGTAGTGTTGTCAGAATGATTTGCAAAACAATAGTATTTTCAGGACCAACCCATGGACTGTAGAAGTGGACAAAGGGTGTGTCAACCAAAGTGTTCGGCTCCAATCAAATGAAGCTCATGAGGGTGGCAGTTGTAAAAATTTAGACCAAAGTTCCATATTAGAAACTTATTTATGGAGAAAACAGTGAAATAAAAACACCAGGATCATATAGAGTGGATTAATACAAACATTTAAAGCCCAAATAGACAAGACTCACATAGAGAAAGGTGACAATTTTTCAAGCTGGAACTGCGACCATACACACTTCCTATTTAATAAATATATATATATATATACATACACATATATATGTATATATATATAACTCAGTAACACTTTTTCCTTCCTGACAGGCAGGAGCTAACCAGTGTGAACTGAATCACTTGTACTTGTGGCTTTCAGCTTTCTGTTGAGGCCGTTTTCCATTCAAAACATACAATCAAACTATTTAAACAGTATATTATCAGTATAAATCTAAGAATATATTGGAAAAACCTGCCGCCATCATTAAAGCAGGCAATTGTCCATAGGGATGCATTAGTCAAGTGACTAATGAGCTATGCCACAACTGCTGGTCACTACTGCTAAATGCATTTATCTCACTATAGACAGAATACTTTTGAAACAGAACATTAACTAAAATAGTTTGTATTTTAACAATTTGAGAATATGACCACGATTGTAAAATATTATTGCATTGCTAAAAACCATGACTGTTTTCTGATCTATGTTATAACGTTGTTTCCTCATCACAAACATAAGTGGAGTTGTGTTTTGTTTCATTCACACAGGTTTAGCAAACAAACCCTGCATATTTAGGCTGTATTCATCTCTCAAACTATATCTAAAAACACTCTTTCACCTTGTGATGTCATGTGGTAATACAGGAAGTGCTCCACTGTAATGTTAAACTCCATACACCTTCACTATAATTAGAATTTCAACCCAGGAACTGCCCATCTCTATTGAACTACAGGCACAACGTAGCCGTTAACTTGAAAACTAAGGCCTCGTGACATCACAAGGTGGTACAAAGTGTTTGGAGCTTTAGAGATATAGACAGATTAATAATACATTGTTACTCAAACATGTGTAAATGAAACAAAACACAACTCCAGGTATGTTTTTGATGAGGTAACAACTTTCTAACACAGCTTAAGGCTCACAGGAGTGCGTAGGACCTTTAACCACTAGTTGAAAACCACTCTTCAGTTCAACCACTTTTCAGTTTTATCAGCTCTATTTAAGATTAGCCACAGCTGCCTGTTAAGTAAACTATCTTAGGAAAACATCACTTAAAGAAACCAGGTCTGTGGTTTTCGGTATTGTGGCTTCATGCACAACTTAGAAACCACCAATAGTTTCTCATTATAAACAATGTGGTTTCAGGTTAGCATGCAACTCAACAACTGATTCTGCAAACAGATTAAAAACGTATGAAATAAGGTGAAAATGGGGTGACGAGTGCTTTAAGATCTCAGTTGACCATGGACAAAATTGGCAGGACGTAGGGGAGAGATAGTCTTGCAGCTGTCTGAATACAAGGCCTTAGTGTGTGTTTTGAGTGCATTACTGTAGCGCTCGGACCACATCTAGTTGGTATGTTGAGTGGGTTTGCACGGAAACGGCCTTCGCACAGACCAAACTCTTATCCTGACTGGGCAGGATGGGCTCAGGGCTCCAGCCTGGACATCAGCAAAGTTTGACCAGGTTGCGCAAAGGAGAGGAGGAGAGGATGGAATGTAGGATGAAAGTGGAGCAGAGGGAGCAGAAAGGGAAGATATAAAGAGAGGAGAAAAGAGACTTACTCTGGGAGCGAGGAATTTGTGGTCATCTTGAAATGTTGATTCACCTGTAAAGAAATAAGAGAAATAGTTTCATCTGATTTAACATGTGACAATTAAACAGAAAAGCTACATATTAACCCATTAACTAAATTACAGGATTTATCATACTCTCCTCAAGGTTGACACTTGTAAAATATATTGCAGTACAAAAAGGATTTATATAAGAGGGCTCAGGGATGAGAGCAAATTATGATTTTCTATTAGGCAGCTTAAAGGTGCTTTGTGTAACTTTTCTGGTGGACAGTCTCCATGGAGATGTTATCGCTTTGTCTGGATGTTTCACAATCACAGTATGGCATTGAATCCTACTATCTTCATGGAGACCAACCAGATCAAATTATAGGTCAGATCTGTGGTGAGGCAACCCTGCTCACAGTCAGAATGCCTGATTTTCTAAGTATTTTTAAGATATAAAACAACCTGTAATGTAATAAATGTAAGGTCATACTGTGGAACATTCCAGACAAAGCAAAGATATATTCATAGAAACAAGCACATGGCAGTAGCGCCACCTAGTCCAGGAATCAGAATACACTAGACAAACCGTCTAGTGTATTCTGATCCACAAAAACCCCGGAAGTGTGAGTTTGGGCACCAGCCAATCAGCAAAGAGCCATACATTCTGTGCAATGATTCCCAAGATCGAGGATTTAAAGCCAAAATAAAGAGAATGTTTGTTGAATGTTTTGGTGAAAATTTCTGTTAGCGGCACATTACATAAGTTACGACCAAATAGCAGCAATTGGTTAAATGTAAAAAGTACCCGCCTACCATCGAGCGAACAAATCCTCAGGTCAGACAGTTTCCATGAAGTTAAACCGGCTGATGAATCAGGCTAAGATGGCAGATCCTCCACCAGAAAAGTTCCTTTAAATGTACATAGTGTAACTTTTCATGTGGGCTTGATTGTGAAGTTATTATTTTCTCTGCAAGGTTTCATAGTATGTCATTACACGCACATATCGTGCAGTTATTGTACATGCATTTTTACTGTGAGGGGGCCTGTGAGAGATAATAAGTTTAATGCAATACTGTGGAATGTTCCAAGGCTAACATCTCCATAGAGACAAGCAAGTGGAAGACCTCACATGAGAAAAAAGTTATATAGGGCACCTTTAAATAGCTTAAATAATTCAAAAACAACAAGGTGAATATATTTGTATTCAAAACGGTGCTATTTGTTATGTGCTGTGCTCTGATGCCAATGTTCAGATCCTGTTCTCTCGCTGTTGGAGAATAAAGCACTCTGGCTCTATGCCCCCAGGACTAAAACACGATGTCTTTAAAATGCAAAATGTTAAATCATTTTGAATAAGTATGACGTCAACCTGTAAATGAAACCATAAGAACAAACTTGGAGATGTCATTACGTAAGTGGAAATGTTACACAGAATCTTGTGTCCTGTGTCATCAATGCTCAACGCAGATACAGTTGCATAACTTCATGACTAATACTCATAATTCATGTTAAAAGCTCCATACCCTTTTCAGATTTGAAATAATTGCAAAATCAGACCCATACTGTATATTCTGTACATATTACCATGTTGTGTATTAAACAGATCATGATTAAAATCTAGGGAAATACCAAAAGACTTGAACTACACTGGCTCTTTCACTTCCCCCATACAAAAGGGCATTAAGAACAGTGAATAGGCCACACTATCCAAATGTGCTATCAACAGCGGTCTTTTCAAACGCTTCTTATCGTTCCTCTGTTCTATGTGCCTAAACTCCAAGCTCAGATCTCCATAATAAATATTTGAGAAACCATGAGTAAAATAAAATAAAGTTGGGAAGAAGTGAGTAGCCTCTGAGGGGGCAAAAAAGAGGAAATCGTATATTATATAATAGAACAATCTGTCTTTTTTGGATGTGAACTTCAGTCTTGGAGAACAAGAGGAAAATAAGATGTATGAGGTCAGGGTTTTTTCCACAAAGATGTTTTATAATGCAATTACATATTTAAGCATGTAAAACTTACATGCTTAAATATGTAATTGCATTGCAAAACGTAAGCGAGATAGCTGTATTTCTTTTTGGCATACAGTACCATCTGGAAAATCACTATTGTTAGAAAACGCCACAAGTGGAAAACAGATAAAAACAAGTCCAGCTACTGATGCTAAAATAGATGAAATGATTATGAAGTCATTTAAGAGTTTTGTTGGCAACAGCTTAATGATTTTGGTCTAATAAAACAAAAAACAAAAACAAAAACAAAAACATGGACGATTCCCTGGAAATACAAAGTTCAAACCATATTTTGGAACATTCTCAATGGACATCGCTATGTTTTATGCTACACTGTGGAATATTTTAGCCAAAGGAACAGCATTTCCATGAAAACAAGCAGAGGACCATCTTCCAGGTCAAATAAAAGTCAGGTTTGTGGAGAAGCAGCCCTGCTCAGATTAATAATGCATGTTTTTCAGTGCAATAAACAAAACAAAAATGTAAAAAATAACAAAAAGGTTGGTTAAAAGTTACCTACTGTGGCTTTAATTTAATGATCTTACCAAGGAATACTTTGTGAGATTTAATACACAAAATAATTAGCCCACTTTATTTCCCAGAAGCCTGAAATCTGCTCCAAACCACATGCTGTAACTGAGAGATAATTGGCTATAGACCTGTCGATTAAAAGCCCAAAGCTAACCATTGACCATTTTAAACGACTGGATCTCAGTTTGATTAAAATTTGATGACTCGTAATTAGCCTTACCAGAACTACTTTGAAACTAGCACAGACAATGCTCTCTGGAATGCAAGAGAAATCGAAAGTTCAGATCTTCACAATGAGTCATTTGAGGTCACGGCAGCTGGCTCCTTTGTTCCTGGTGCAGTTTGTCAGTACTGTCACTATCCAGCCCCTCCATGTTTATGCTGTCATATGTGCTTCTCATTAGCCTCTTGAATGGAAGATTGGAACTAATTTCTTCCAGCGCACGAGGCTTGTAAAAAACCTCACTTCTGCCCTCCATCCCCACCACCCACTGAGACAAGACAATACTGTACCCATCAACCCCGGTGTCTCGTGATACTACTGAGTTCAGTCGCTCCGCCATCTTAGATTTGACTACAAGATATGTTTGTGTAAGTACAAAATGTTAATAGAAATAAATGGATAGCCTGTTTGTAGAGGCATGCGTCTAAGTGGTTAATTGGATTACAGCGTCACAAGATCCACAATCCAGTTACAGGCTAAGAGCTGCAGCTACTCCCAAAATGACAATTATCTAAATGAATGCAGCATGGTGCCCATAAATCAGCAACAGTCTTCTTTCAAGTTAAATTGTGTACATTGTAAAAGAGCATTCGCTAAAGAACAACTGCACAGTTGGAAAGAGCGATACAAGCAGTGAGAAGTAAACCATAATTTCTTTTACCTGAGATAAGTAATAGTTTGGAAAACATCATTATTACCATTATTTTGGTCATTAATGAAGTCGTGATTATTCAAGCAATAATTTTTTTAGTTACACAATGCATTTATTCAGCATTTCTCTCTCACTTTGTTATTGATAATTTATGCAAAACTTCCAAATTGAAAATTAATACAGGCTACAAATATGCACCTTAGAGCAGTTTTGAGATGTATAAAACATAAAATGAATAAAATGCACTTTGAACATGAAATAAGGCATAGAAAAACATCAGTGTATCCAAAATAAACTATAGATCCAGCTCTTCTACAATCTCTATAGTTAAAAAATAAAATAAATTTACTTATTTATATAAAAAATATCCCCAAATAAACCCAAAATAAATCGTTTCAACTCGATTATATGAGTTTGGAGATCGTTTGACAGCCTTAGTTTGGTGCATTGATTGTTAATTCTGAGAAAATTCATGCTGTTTCTATATGCTGTTTTTTTTCCTCCTTTTTTACGTGTAAGGAGTTTGTTTTTGACGCAAACGCAAAAAGCCTGCGCCTCTCTGATTGGTTCACCTGCCTGTCAATCACGGCCTCTGAAATCATGGAGAAAGGATCCGGCTCCAGATTCACTTGTTTTTGTTTTGTCAAAAGTAAACAGCGTTCGGGTCTAGTCAAATGAAGCTCACCAAGGCTGGCAGTTATACTGGAGGATTTGGAGCCGAGTCCCATATTTGGAATTTTGACCATGACTGTCATAGTAACCAAAGAGCCAAACCGGAGTGAGGCTGTTGAAGATAACAGCCCTTCCCCTGATTTACAGACAAAATAGCAAAATAAAAACACCACAATTATGTAGAGCGAGTCCAAAATGAGGAACCTGACAGCTGCAGTTACTGAAAGAGGTAACAGTTTTTCTATAGAAAGGGAATCGGAGGCAGAATTGATGGAGCTGGAAGTCTATAGATACAAGATAGAAGCAAACAAGTTGTGGTTGAGTTGAAAGCTGTTGTGCTTGTTGTGTAATTTAGACATCTGCAAATTCCTGCATAAGTTTATCAGTTCATTTCAATCTTCTCTCGAATGTTAATGCCTCTGGGGTTGTTTACAATGTGCACTCTCAACATAATCCAACTTTTTAACATATTGTAAGACACAGAAATCACAACCCAATATGCCAGTCTAATCTGTTTTTCAGATCTTTTGTGGTTGATTTCACACAGGTTACATGACATTTACAGCACTAAAAATGATGGATAGTATGATTACATAAACTATCAAGATCTTTGTCAACATTACACCCATCTCTAAAAATATCAGGGTATAGGCATAAAATATGAGTTTGCAAATGTTACAACAGAAAAATCTTTTCATAGCATTAGTCAAGGTTCACAAAATGATTAAAAGTGACATAGAAACTGCATCCTAATATGTGTATTATTTTTACCATAGCATGTACCATTCTAATTACACAATATTTAATAACAATACTTCCAGCTACTACAGTCAGCACAAGGGAGGATAAAATATATCACTGTTGAATTAAAAAGATAAATCTAGAATACTGTAAAACATAATATAACGTTAAGAAAAAAGAAACAAAAGAACAAAAACAACTCCTTCAAACTC